CACAAGTTGTTCCAAATTCAGTACAAGAGATACCAGTATTAATTGGGCAGCCGTTCACAGAAAAACCAACCGTGTTTGTCATGAAAGACAACAATACCCTACGCATTCTCCGCGCTGCAGATGAATTACCGAAATTAGAACCGGAACCCAAGAAAAATAAAATTGATTTGATTGTAGCTAGGGACATCGTTCTTCCTGAAAAGCACATAGGCCTCATAGAAATTGTGAACAAGGAGGGAATTACAGGAGACTTTCTTGTTGAATCCGACTTTAGGCGAAAACTTGGAGAGGAATATGTTGTTTTGCGCACAGTAATAACTATTGAACCAGGCAAAACTGCAATGCTTCCAATAATTAACATCTCCAACAGTGATATACATTTTAATGGAAAACATCCCATAGCCAGAGCTTTTAGGTGTGAAGCAAGCAATAATGAAGAACACACAATACTGAAAACAAATTTAGAAAAGCTTTTACCTTTCAACGAAGAAGAAATACAGACTGGACCGATTTCACCAAAAACCAAATCCGCACTAGTAAAACTGTTAAACAAATATCGGGGTTGTTTTGCACAGAATATGAGTGAACTAGGAGTGTGTAAATCAATAGAAATGTCCATTCAGTTATCTGAAGATAAACCATTCACATATCGACCTTATAGGATGTCAGAGACTGAAAAGACCAAAGTTCGAACAATTATAGATGAACTTTTGAGTAATAATATAATTAGAGACAGTGAATCACCGTATGCATCCCCAATATTATTAGTTAAAAAGAAAAATGGTCAAGAACGAATGTGTGTAGATTTCCGCAAACTAAATCGCCTAACCGTCAAAGATAGATATCCGCTACCAAGAATCGATGATCAAATTGACAAACTAATTGGATGTAAATTTTTTACAAGTTTGGATTTAACATCAGGCTATCACCAAATTCCTATAAACGAAAAGTCGAAATACCTAACATCCTTTGTAACGCCAGAAGGTCAATATGAATTTAACAGAGTTCCTTTTGGATTATGCAATGCCCCAGCTGTTTTTGTGAGATTAATGAATAAAGTTTTAGGCCCGTATAAACAAATTGCAGCAGTATATTTAGACGACACACTAATCGCTACTAAAACAGAAGAGGAAAATTTGAAAAATTTGGTAACAATATTGCAGGTATTCGAAAAGGAAGGATTAACCCTGAATTTAAGCAAGTGTATGTTTTTGGCAACAGAAATAACTTACCTTGGTTATGAAATATCCAAAGGAGGAATTCGACCAGGAAATATGAAGATTAAAGCAGTAAGTGAATTCCCTAGGCCGAATAATGTGCATCAAGTGAGACAATTCATTGGTCTCACCAGTTATTTTCGACGGTTCGTTAAAAATTATGCTATCGTAGCACGTCCCTTAACAGCTTTAACAAAGAAAAATACTGTGTGGTCTTGGTCTGAAAGTGAAGAGGATGCATTCACAAAATTAAAAGAAACACTTACCAATAAACCAGTACTTCAAATATATGATCCTTCAGCAGAAACAGAAATTCATACAGATGCCAGTAAACTAGGCATAGCCGGTGTGATGCTGCAGAAACACAATGACTTACTTCATCCAGTTAATTATTACAGTAGGCAAACTAACAGTGCAGAGAAGAACTATCACTCATTCGAGTTGGAAACGCTAGCGGTTGTGGAAACCATCCAAAAGTTTCGAGTTTACTTGTTAGGTTTAAAATTCAAAATTGTGACAGACTGTAATGCGTTAAAGACAGCTTCAACCAAACGCGACTTAATACCACGAATAGCACGTTGGTGGTTACAATTGCAAGAGTTCGACTTCACAGTGGAATATCGACCCGGAAGTAGAATGGCACACGCTGATGCTCTAAGTCGGAATCCATCTCAAACAGAAATACCACCAGAGGAACGGTTTATTCTTAGAATTGAACCTGCTGATTGGGTATTATCTGCTCAATTAACAGACCAAAAGATTTCAATGATTAAGGATATCTTGTCTAAACCTCCTGCGTCTGAATACGAGCGAAAAATTTACAAGGATTATGCACTCAGAAATGACCGAGTCTACAGGATAACCGTTCGTGGAATTCAATGGGTAGTTCCTTGTGGAATGAGGCAACGAGTTCTAAGATCTGTTCATGACGAAATGGGACACTTTTCAGTTGAGAAGACATTAAATAAACTCTGCCAAACGTATTGGTTCCCAAGAATGAAGGAATACGTCGAGCGGTATATATCTTGTTGCGTACCGTGCTTATATAATAAGATGCCTGCTGGTCGTAGAGAAGGTTTCTTACATCCTATCGCCAAGGAAGCAATTCCGTTTCATACAGTTCACCTTGATCATCTCGGACCTTTTCAAAAGTCATCAAAGAAAAATGCACATCTACTTGTAGCTATAGATGCTTTTACGAAATATGTGTTACTTGAACCTGTCAGATCTACGGAAAGTAAATATGTTACAAGATTTTTGGACAAATTGTTTAATTTGTATGGTGTACCTACACGAATAATTACAGACCGAGGATCAGCATTTACTGCTAGAAGCTTTGAAAAATTTTGCAAAACTTTTCACATTATACATATTCAGAATGCTGTCGCAACTCCCAGGGCAAACGGACAAGTTGAACGATTGAATAGAACAATAAAGTCTGCTCTTTCAACAACATCAACTACGGAAGATACATGGGATCGGGTAGTACCACAAGTACAATTTGCAATCAACAACACCGTTCATAAAATAACGAGACAAACACCTTCGCAGCTATTAATGGGTTACAGTCCGAAATCAAAATCAGATTCAGCATTAGTTACAGAAGTAATGGACGAGGTTCGACTAGATCTACAGAAATTACGATCAGATGTGTCCGCAAGAATTCGTAACGAACAAGCGAAACAAAAACAACGTTTCGATAAGAAAAGGAAAGCACCTCATGTATATAAAAAGGGAGATTTAGTTTTAATTCAAATGAGAGTATCTGGTGATGGGTCTAGTAAGAAACTGACTCCTCCGTTTGATGGACCAATGCTTATAGATAAAGTTTTACCTAACGATCGGTATCGCGTAAAAGACATGCCCGGTTCAGTGCGTCGCCAAACCGGTAGTTATAATAATGTGGTTGCCGTTGACCGTATGAAACCTTGGATACCTCCCCGAGGTGTGTCTGAGGATACTTCTAGTGCTAGTGGAGATGATGGAGTTCCTTTTCCAGATTCGAATTAGGAACCTTAGCATCACGAGGACGTGACGAACTCAGGTTGGCCGAATGTAAGGTACGAAATATAAATCATAACGAATATATCAAAACTTTACTCCAGTAATAATTGCCTTTCCATATTTGTTTCTTTTGAATCTCATATTTAACATCGATAGGCTGGCGACTGGTATCCCATTTGTTTTTGTTTGTATGNCTCAAAGCATATAAAAATTATACGGCTTAAATGTGAAGTTGGGTGCAAAAGAATACAATTAAATCCTCTGTCGGGAAAAAACGAAATGACTTTCCGAACAACCAATATATTGCACGAAATGTGGGTCCTCAAAAGAAATATGAGCAACTCATCATTGTAAATCACAACTCAATTTTAATTAGCTCGCATAAAGTTAATTCGTATTGCAAATTGTGCTTGAAAAATAACTATTTTACGCATAAATAATTGCTTTAATTTGATTTGAGTGTACTATGACATTGTTCAAATGTAACTGATGATATGAGTAAATTTTTCAGTAGGAGGTGCGTTACTATATATACCGTTAAAGTCCATACTATATCGAACTCAAATATTATCTTGTGTACTATTGTTCCCAAAACGCTTACAAATAATATTATTTTAAAATACATATGCAAGTCGTAGTTGATAACTGAACGATAATGAAGATCTTTTATTATATTTTTCTGACAGTTTTCGGCGCAAGTGGTAAGTTACTATATAATGTTAAATATAAAAAGACAATGAAAATATATCCCTCGTATTGAACCCTCTACAAAAGAACTTAAATTAAAGGGTTAATATTTGTGACTATCATAATATCAACTAAGTCACCATGAAGTCGCTTTAAGTATTTTGAAAATTGAAAATAGCTGTTTTTATGTATCTATTACATATATATATTGAGAGCATATTTAGTGATAATTGTTTCAATTTGTTTTCGACAATCTTTAAATTTAGAAAAAATATTTTTATTCATTGCACATAATCGACTGATAAATATACATTAGGATTACAATTAGGTCAATATTTAGTTTTATCACCGTTGGCCGCAATACACGATTCCAATCGGGAATTCATACTCCCGATTAAAGACTCCAAATATTTAGGGACCAAATCGTTCCAAATGGTTTCGATTTTGACCATCCAATTGTCAATGGAGCGTGCAGTCTCTTTTTCAAGGTTACCTTTCATCAATTTCCAAAGATTTTCGATAGGGTTGAGGTCTGGCGAACAAGCTGGCCACTTTATGACCTCAAATTCTTTACCATCAAACCACTCTTTGTTTTCGATCAATACTATTGATAATTGTAGGGCATGTGACACAACAATCGATCGGTAATTTGATTCTCAATTCAAACGTGTGCTTTGTTTGCATGGTAATCACCTAGCATCAAATTAATCAATCAAAAACTAAGTGACATAATTTTATCGCCAAATCTGCTCCCAACTATATGTATTGTCGGGAAGTGTCATGATGAACTCTATACACCATTTTTAATGTTAGACATGTAGAAAAAAGTATCAAAAAATCACGCACTATAGCGAAAGAGTATTATATTTTCCAGACGAATAAATAAACATAACATAAATCACTCTAAATAAAGAATTCAAAACGCGATTTTATTCCTCCACAATTAGACCGCTACGTTTACTTTATGTTTTTTTATTTGACTGCTTGTTGAATTGCGTGGTAAAAGAAAAAGGCCAAGGTTGTATTATACAATTAAGATCAGGCTTTGACGAAATTGAACGATTTTTAATTTTTAAACAAAAAACNTCATGAATTGCATAATCACTATGCTAATGATAAGGATTATAGTGGTGAAATGCATTTACCACCTCGAAGAAAAATTGATAATTTCGTCAGTGATGACGTAGACGCAGACGAACCTACTAATAGAATTGTTGGTGGAGAAAAGGTTAATAACATTGAAGAATACCCTTTTCATGTGGTGATGATTGGTGAAAATGACGAACATTATAGAGTTTGCGGAGGAGCAATAATTGCAGATAAATTCATCATCACTTGTGCTCACTGTTTTGTTAGGTAGGTGAAACAAAATATACTTAAATGTTTATAAGCAACAACGTAACATACAGCAACATCAAATTTTTCATATTTACAATCGACTTATAGCAAGACGAGACAATACGATATTGTCTTAACTGATTCAAATATTATCTCAAGAATTATTGATCTCAATGTTGATATAATAATAAAAAAGAAGGTTTGTTCCAGCATGCACAAGAGCCCAGATAACTTTTTGAAGTCAAACTTCTTTACGCACGGTAGGATAAGTTCGCTTCACGCGAGTTGCTACGTAACGAAATCATGCAACGGTTGTCCGCCCTCTACTCGGCCACGTAGTCGAGTTCGTGGTGGGGATAGCTTGAGCCGTGAGCGCGCTTCAATGCAACGTTCGTTACAGGCAACTCCGGCATGTATAGTGTAAAATTTAAATTCGTAGTGTAAAATAATACCATTAAACCAATTTCTTAACCTCTATCCCGATATGTTTCTGTGTTTAAAGAAGTTTCACTTCAGTAGCGTGTTATATAAATAATTACACGTTGTTTTTTTTTGCTAAACATTTGTATTGTATTATACGCTCTACAACGATGTAATTTATAAAACAAATTCAACTTTAGTCGTAGTGCTTAAAATAATATTTCACACCTCAATTGTAGATATCCGTATTAAAAAAACAGTAATTATTTTGATTTGCAAAAAAAAATTATATGCACGAGAGGATTCTCTTTTGTTAAAATAAAACAAGATGATGTTTTGTTTATTTATGTCACGTACATAAAGGATCGCATGTAGAAAACCTCATAAAATCAGCCAAAATCACAATTTTTCAAAAATTCCAGCGGGACATAAATTGACCATATTAGAATGTTCGTCAATTGCACCATAATATGAACTGACTGCATTTCATTATTACTTAAAAGTAAAAAATTGGTTTCGTAAAAACAGAATAACAAGCACATATGTTAGATAAAATGATGTTGTTGCAGTATTGATGCTGTAGACCATCACGTGAAAGCTGGAATATCGAATTTACTGCAGAAGGCGCAAATTCGAGAGGGTGCTAAAGTATTTAAACATAAAAAGTATCCTGGTGGCTACTTTGAGAACGACATTGGACTTCTAAAGGTATGTTCAAATAAATGTCGACTTCCATTACCGAATTAATTTAGGCAAGTACCTATTATAAATGTTATGTTACTTTGAGTAACACAAAAAGATTGTAAATAAGACTAACACTAAATCTAGGAGCGTCAGATGGTCGTACGTTGCGGGTTACCCCGTTTTTCGCGCTACAATAATTTGAAAACCCATCATCATCATGAGGTTATCAGTCTTAAGACTGGTTAGACACGCACCTCCACTTTTCCTATCCTGAGCTAATCTTTGCATTTCCCTAAAACTAGAACAACCCCCATCCTTAACTACTTCCGAACAGTGATCTAATCTAGGTCTACCTCTACCCCTCCTAACTTCCGTTTCTGCCTCTAATATGTCTTTCACTAGACCTTCATGCCTTAGAAGGTGTCCTACTAACCCATCTCGCCTGTTTCTTATTAACTTCCATAGAGTCTTCTGTTCTCTTACTCATTCTAATACTTCGTCATTTCTAACCTTCTCTATCCACTGTATCTTCATCATGCCCGTGTAACATCTCATTTCGAACGCTTCTAACCTTTTCTTTTCTGCCGCACTGTCCATGTTTCGCACCCATACAGCGCCGTGCTCCAAACAGACACCTTTAACAAACTTTTTCAAATTTCTAAATTAACCGTTCGCGAGATTAGAAGTGACCTCTTTTTATTGCAAGCGTCTCGACTTTACGCTATCCTCTGCTGTATATCCCTACTACTCCTTCCGGCCTGACTCATCTGACTTCCTAGATACCTATAATCGACCACTTCTTCTAATTTTTCGTCTCCTATATTTATATTCACTCTTGCTCAACTTCTTCTTCCCTTGGATATCAGTTTTTTGTTTTGCATTTATTTATTTTCATACAGTAGTGTTTTGTCAGTACCGCTTCCTTTTTATCTCTAAGTGTTCCTTGATAGATGCTAATACTGCTATATCATCTACAAATCTAAGCATACTAATCTTTTGTCCCTGTATATTTATCCCTACAGTTGTACTGTCTTTAATGATGTTGATCGCGTCTTCCATGTAAAGATTAAAAAGTAGCGGTGACAGTGTGCATCCCTGTCTGACTACCTTCCCAATATTTACTCCTCTACGTTGCAGTCCCAGCTCTATAACTGCCTGTTGGCCTTTGTACAAACTAAGTGTCATTCTTCTACCTTTGAAAACCCATAATTAGCAAAATTAAATACAGGGTAAACAAAGCTTTTTGAAAATTTCGTAATGGCCGGCTTGCTCAACTAAACATAGGCGTTACCTCTAGCCTGCCTCGGCTGTATGAGTTTGAAAAGATATTTTTCTTGTGAGGCAATGCATAGACGGATAGCCGAAACAGATTTGATATCGATACCGTCAAAGCGAAGCTTCAAGTATAATGTAATGTTAAATTATCGTGTAAAGATTTTTATGTATTTACCCCACAAAATGCCGTTTTTATTGTCTCCCGTCTAAAACCCGCATCTTTAATGCCGGTAACCCTGAAATGAGGAACTAGCAGGTGGCAACCCTAACTAGACCTCATTGCTAAAAAATGTGTAAGTGGAGACTGCCATTCTTCTCAAACAACGGTTCAACAAAAGATTAAAACAGTTCCTTCCAGGTTAAAGAACCGTTCAAATTTAGTGCGAAAGTGGGAAAAATAGGCTTGCCTCATGCTGCTGCATGTTTTATAGTGGGCGACATTGTAACAATCCTAGGATTCGGCCAAACTACTGTACATCCAACTGAAATACCGAACGAGAACCTTCACGTCTTAAAAGCTCCACTGACTTCCCGGGAAAGATGTATGGAACGAAAAATTGAATTTGTGGGCGTTGAAATGACAGAGAGAGTGCTTTGTACTGATACGCCACCAGGTTATGGTGTATGTTTTGTAAGTGAGCAAATATTTNAATTCAATTAAGTATTCGAAAAGTTTGTCTTCAAAACTATAAGTACCTGTTGCTATATTATGCTAATGAAGTATTGATTAAAATATGTTAAAACTCTTTGTCCACATAATCAAAATAACTATACAACATTCTAATACAGACTCTATCTCAGATTGTTTTGATTTGTGCGATGCCAAATAAAATCCGAGAGGCACAACTGACATTCAACACTTATTGTTTATCCGAAAAATAAACGGAAAATAGAAAATTCGGATGCGATAGTATAATGCTATCTTTAAAATATTAAAAAAACACTTTGAACTTAACAAAGTCATACGAGACTATTCTAATGATTGAATGGTGAAAAATGCTACTAACTGATTAAAATTGCAAAAAGTCGATGTTGTTGATTCGAGTTCGTAAAGGTAAATGTTTGTGTATAGAAATTAAAATTAAGCTGCTCAATGGTTCTATAAATTATTCGGCTCTTACCTCAACAATGCGAAATAGTTTTAAATTTTAAAATCAACAATTTTAAATTTACCCAATTATCTTTTAATAGACTGAAGCAATGAAGGCTTTTAAAAATAACAGAGGAAAATAATATTAACAAAAGAAGACCCACATCAATTGGACCATTGGATTCACCACTCCTTATGCTTTTAAGCATTCGTTGCAGTGTCTGAAATGGTTTCTTATTTTTGACACGGTGTTTCTACTTTTGTTTCCGCTTCATTTTTTACTTACTTATTTATTTATTTACACTACCTGGGCACGAAGGTCTAGACAGGGACATACAGGGTTTGTCCGGAAAGTAATAGGACTGTTTTCCTTCCGCTGCGACTGTACTGTGAGTAGTGCAAGCCCAAAATGCAGCTTTCGTTAGAGTAGAGGTACGGGATTAAATTCTGTGTGAAACTCGGTAAATCTGCGACAAAGACGTTTGATATGATCAAGCAGGCTTACCCAGATGTTGCTGTAGCAAGAAGCGGTGTGTTTCGGTGGCACCAGGCCTTTTCAGAGGGCCGGGAAGAGGTCGCCGATGAAGACCATGCTGGAAGACCTTCGACTTCGACAAATACCGACAATGTGACTCGTGTGCTCGATGTTTTGAACTCCAGATATTAAATTTACCAAAATCTGTGGTTCATGACATTGTGACGAAACATTTGAACATGCACAAGGTGTGCGCGAAGATGGTCCCAAAAGTGCTCACTGACGACCAGAAATTGCGGCGAGTTTTGAATAACGTAATCACAGGTGACGAGTCATGGATCTTTGAGTATGATCCCTAGACAAAGAGGCAATCTTCCGAGTGGCACACGCCGACGTCTCCTCGCCCAAAAAAGGGAAGAATGAGCAAATCCAAAGTGAAAACGATGCTCATTGTCTTTTTTGACATGAAAGGCATCGTCCACCATTAATTTGTTCGTCCTGGACAAACCGTCAACGCCAAGTTTTACGTGGAAGTGTTCAAGAGACTCAAACGAAGGGTCAATCGGGTCCGACAAGACATCGCAGCCGACTGGAAGTTGCACCACGACAACGCCCCGGCTCACACCGCCTTTCTTGTGTGCAGCTACCTGACCAAGGCCGGCATCCCAACGCTTCCGCAGCCGCCCTATAGCCCAGATGTGCCCCCCTCGGACTTTCTTATGTTTGCACGCCTGAGAAGGCCGATGAAAGGCAAGTATTTTGAGACGATAGAGGGGATCCAAGCAGTATGCATCGCGGCTCTTCCGGAGAATGCCTTCCGTGACGCCTTCAATGCTTTGAAATCGCGCTGGCAGCGCTGCATCGACGCAGAAGGAGCCTATTTTGAAAGTTTTTAAAGAATTGTAACGATTGGCTCAATAATTTTTTTTAAATCGACTCAGCCCTATTACTTTCCGGACAAACCCTGTATTAGTGGCAGAAACGAAAGTTAGGAACGGTAGAGGTAGACCTAGATTAGATCAGTGTTCGCAAACAGTTAAGGATATGGGTTGTTATAGTTTCAGGGAAATACAAAGATTAGCGCAGGATATGAAAGAGTGGAGATACGTGTCCAACCAGTCTTAGGACTGACGACCTTATGATGATAACTCAACAGCGGAAATACCAATTAGAGAGTAAATAGAAACACGTATTAATACATATTAACAGTACTCAAAACTTACAATTCAGCAGAACAAAAGTTGGTTAAACAATAGTTAATGTAATTTTAGACTTTACGGGTAACCAAAACATAAATAGGGTTTATCTGACAGGTTAGAAAGAAAAATTAGGTCCGCTTGTAATCACCTTCATTCAACCTCTGCAGTTTACATTGGTTCGGCAATTCTTGTTTTGTTACACCTTGTGGCAAACAAAAACCATCCATCTTAAAGCACAAAAATTTTATAAATATGGTCTTCAATTCTAATTTGTAAATACTGCACCCACGATCAAATAATTGGTGCATACTCCAATTTTGGTCTTTGAGTGCTAAAATCAATCTGTACGTTTTTAAAAATCGCTTATTAGAGACTCTATATATGTTGTCGAAAGGTCAACTTTCAGTCAAATAAAACACCGATATCACAAAATACGGATGGTCTGTCAAGAACATGATTAATTATGTACAAAACTACTAATACTTTTCGAATTTTGTTTTTTTTCTTTTTTCTTGGCTCGTCTTGAATAATGCTAACCAATTTGTAGGTAATTCTCACTTGAAGAATTGTGGCACAGAAACCCTGTTATTTAGGTACAAATAACATAATTCCAATTCAATTAAGTATTCGAAAAGTTTGTCTTCAAAACTATAAGTACCTGTTGCTATATTATGCTAATGAAGTATTGATTAAAATATGTTAAAACTCTTTGTCCACATAATCAAAATAACTATACAACATTCTAATACAGACTCTATCTCAAAAGTCGAAATATAAGCCACTTTTTTTTAATGCTAACTTTTTGATGATATTTGTTTGGTTTACATGTAATAGTAAAATGATGCTCAAGTAGACCTTTATAACTTTTCAAACTTCACTTGTATTGATGGAATAAGACACTTTCGATTTTCGACTACTTTAGTCCATTAAGATACTTCCAAGATTTTAAACAGTAGATGCTAATTTTATAATAGACACGGTCCATAATGAACTTGAAATACTTATTTCTCTAGTCTATTCTTGTACTCGTCGTGTTTATTTTCAATTCTGAAGGATACATTCATAAATTCACACACACTTACTTGTGCCACATATTCATTATTGATAACGGTATAACTGAGATTATTACTGTTTTATCTTTATTGAAAAGAAATATTCAAACGTTAGACTACTAAATTTTGAATGTTTTTTTCCAATTTTTAAATAGACTTGTCAGTACAACAGCAGAATTCTACTATTATTAAAAATCAGCTACAGCAAAAAAAATATTTTAATATCTAAAGTATAATTCCTTAGTCTACTTGTCAGCGAATTCTTAAAAAAACTTCAACGAGCTTTATTTAAAAAATAAAAGAAACAACACGTGCAATTCAGTACACGTGATAGAAGTGAAACTTCTTTGGCGATCTCTATACCTTTATAACGAATAAGTAATGATTGGTGAAAGAAAGCGATATTACGAGAATTCTCCAACATTTTTATCTTTGGTCCACCTAAGCCTAAGGTGTATTACTTTAATACGTTTTCATGTAATTCAATAAGTAATAAAAAAATGGTCAAATTTTTTTCGCTTCCGTTTATTTTTCCAAGTGCTTAAGAAACCATAAACTATCAATAACTACAAGGAATTAGTAATTAGTAATTAATAATACTCACTATTAAATAAATATTAATTGTTTTGTTAAATAAACATTTACTGTAATACATTTATTGTAATATAACTGCATAGATATAACCGAAAACCTAATTTAGCACTATAGTATAGTGAATATACATTATAGGTACTATAATATATGAGATACCGGTCTCTAACAGCTGACTGTAATACCGATATGCGCATGCGCGCTTTTCTATTCTCATAGCCTATCGCGTCGCGATACGAAACGTTGTAAAATGTGTCGTTTCATGGCCTTGAGATTTTACTCTCATCGAGCCCAAAGAAGTGTTATTTCAAAAATATTTTTGTAACCTTCATGGTTCAAAAATTTTGAAAGCCTCTAATTCCTTCATTTTTCCTTAGTCCATTTGGTGATATGCATATGGTGGGTGTTCTTTTACTGCGACAATACTGCCTTTTAATTTAAGTGATGGATATGTTACTTTTGTTAGTTATTACGCATTTATATTGGCAAGAATGTCTGCTTGATATCTATAAACTTAAAAACAAATGCGGAATGTGCCTATTTCAAATGTCTGGTTTTTGTAAAAATAACGTGTTAATTAGATATTTCACCAGATTTAAAGATTAATAAACCTTTTCTAGCTGTTGAAAATAGATTAATTAATAGAACGGTCAACAGCTACGAGTTCATAATAAATCAAATCCACGAAATTCCACTAGACACATAACAGAACTTTTTTCAAGGCGTTATCTCTTAATAACCAGTTCGAAGATTTTACTTTTGTTTGCTTTACATGCTAAAATTATGGAAATAGATCCCTTTTTCACAAATTGCATTTTAATAAAACGATGATCTTTGGAAGTATTTGGCAATTGACAACGAACATTAGATAAACTAACACAGGGTGTGATAGAAGTGATTCCATATTGATCAGTTCTAATTTTAAGTAGGTAAAACCGGAATTAACAAATACTTTTAGCTTATTTTAGCTGTGACTAGACACATTTTAGCTAAAACTAGTTTTTACGACACTTTTCAGTAAATTCTAGGTTTAACGTAATAAAAATTAACACTTTGCAGTTATTGTAACACAGCAATTTTGTACGCTCTCCATACGCTATTTTTTATTCAACGTAATACTGTTTATTTGGAAGTCCATGGATTTTTAAACAAAGAACATGTTTTTTTCTTAAAATTCTTGAAAGTCCTGAGCGATAATCGACTAGAGCCAACAGGCGCACTTAA